AAAGCAAAATGAATTCCTTAAAGTCACATGTATGATAACAATGGGTTTACGCTATGTGTATAATTTTTGATATCCAGAATAACCTTCTGGATACAATTGGGAATTATGTAGGCATTCGAGGCTTTTTGTGCCAAAAAGCCCATTTTCCTACTACTAAAAGGTTTAAGGAAAAAGTATGAACGAAGAAAAAAATTCATAAAAAGGAGAAAAGAAAAAGAAAAAGGTAGAGAAAGGAATAAGAACAAACGATAAATAGAAGAAAACGAAATTCAAAAAGGAGAGAAAAGGAAAAAAGGGGAAAAAGAAAAAAATGAAAAAGTAAAAAAGAGAAAGAACAAACGAAAGTAATTTAAAATAAAAGAAAATGAAAAAGATAGGAGAGAGAAATGAAGGAAAAAAGAATGATAAGAAAGAAATCAAAAAAAGTTGGAGAGGAAAAAACAAATGGTAATTGAGAGTTTTAGCAAAGTTTCTTAATTTCGCTCGTAAGTAAAGAAAGAAAAGAAATTCAAAAAAAAATGAAATAAAAGAAATAGAAAAAAGGGGAAAAAGGATGAAAAAAAAGAAGAAAAAAGAAATTCAAAAACAGAGATAATAAGAAGGAAAAGTGAAAAAAATAAGGAAGAAATAAGAAAAGGTGAGAGGGAAAGAACGAATGAAAGAAAAGAAAAAAGAAATTCAAAAAAGAAGGTATAGAATGAAAAAGGTATTAAAAGGGGAGAAATGAATAAAGATTCAAACAAGGACAAAAAATAAATCAACAAAATTGAGTCAGGAACCAAAAAAACAATTTTTTTAAATTGATCTACAATGGGATCATGCATGAATTTTTGGAAAACCTATCGAAAATTTTTTTTCTCTTTTCTTTTTCTGTTTTATAATAATCGAACCATATTATTTTCGAAATGCCTTCACCAAACGTGAAAAAATATGTTCTAGATGGTAACCGAATGCTGCTCTTAGTTATAGTTTTCGCATTATCTTAGGTGGCACTTTATTATGCCGTAAAGTACGTGCTTAGTATTTAGATCCTATAGTAGCACTTCGATAAAACTCTTTTTTAAATGGTACTTCAACGACAAAACATGAAGCTTGTATTGAAAACCTTTTCTGAAACACATTCCATAGTAAAGGTCGAATCTGCAACTGATTTCATCAAAATATGAATGAACGTCGGTGAACTTCTGGTTGATAAAACCTACGTTGAAGATGCAAAGGATAAGGTTGAATTTATGCGAGAAGTTTTTTCAAACAAGATCAATCTTGAACCAAATGTTCAAGGAAATATGTCAGCCTGTTTTAGAGAGATTTCAGCTCGATGTGATAAATTAGAAGCTCTTCATGAGACGGCACATGAGATAGAGAGAGTAGCGTTGCAAAAGTGGAAACTATTGTTCAAGCTGATTATAAATTCGAACATCTGTACTGGGAAGGATTAGTGAGACTAGTAAAAATTATACTTTTAATAATTTGTAAATTCATTAATGTATATGTATATATTAAACATTTCTTTTTCTTTATATCTATAGCTAAAGATTTTATTAATAAACTATTAAATGTTGATCCTGACAGTCGTCTTACTGCCTATCAAGCTTTGTTGCATCCATGGCGATGAGTTACGAGCTACTTTATCAAAATATAATGAAACTATAAAACTCAAGAAACATTATTCACAAGAAGCAAATCACCACTTAATTCATCAAAAGGATCGAAAGGATTCGAAAAATCGTAACAAGAACTTGTAGATATAAAAAATAGATTAAACCAGGTTGAATTTGATTATCAAATAGCCGTGGAATATACGACAAATACAGAACAAATATTAAATATAATGAAAGATGAATTAATGCCAGAAACGTCCACATCACATGTGAACACATTTTAATCACAGAAATTATTACAGATTGGAAGGGATCCATCACAAATTTTTTATATCTTCAGCCTATGTTGTTAGGTGAGCTCAGACAAAATTTCGGAAACTAAATTTAGAAACATCGTCTTAAAAATTCTTGATACAAAGTAATTTAGAAATGGAAAAATTAAATGAGAAATTAATTGACGTAGAAAGTCATAACAAAAAATTAGAAAATTGGAAAAATGCTTTTCAAATGAAATATTTTGAGTAAACGAGAAGCTTTTAAAAATCTTTCCGATAGCAATAGGCTCAGAGAATTACAAGACACAATGAATTCTCATTCCAACGTTTAAAGGATAAATAGAAAGAAGCCAAAACAAAAATTGAACAAGTGTTAGGGAAATTAGAGGTAAGTTCTTATTATATATTGTATTATTATATTAATTTATCCATTGACTTTTGATTGATCATTTACAGATAAAAAATACAAAATTAATTGAATACGAAGAAGTAATCTTGTTTAAAGTAATTTTTCTGAATGAGATTTCAAACGTAACTATTTTTTATTCGTGTTTTATAATGTAATTAAAAAAATTTTTTTTATTAATATTTTCTTTTTTTTTTTTTTTTAAAAAAAACCATTAAATTAAATCATTAATGTAAACAAAAAGTTGATTCTTTTTATGATATGAAAAGTGTCACGTTGGAATCTTTTGGAATAATCAGATATTATTGTCATCAAATACTCGTTTGGAAAAACTGTGATTGGAGACGTAAAAATGTTAGGTAAATGTAAGATATCATACGAGACTTTGCTGTAAGTAAAACAAAAGAGAAAGGGCCAAAAACCAGAATAAGAAAACTGGACAGGCGTAAAGCTCGTCAAAAATAGGGTGTAACCAAAACGTCTCTACTTGTTGAAGGACTTTATAAGGTTTGTGTAAAACATTTTTTTCTTTTTTTTATTTTTATAAAAATTTGGTTCATTTATCATGTTTCATCATACCTGTTGAATTGTTTAGCATAGCGTTGGTAATTTTTAACCGATCTAAAATATCCTTTCCCTAGGGATTGAACAGTCGTTGATCTCAAAGACAAAATTATTAGTTATCACGTGATCAGATATTAAAAAATATCAGGGAAATCATCATAAACAAGCATTATTTAGACAAAAATTATTTTTGCTGTAAAAAAAAAAAATAAAAATTAAAATTAATATTTTAATCGCACATGTAATAAAGATAATTTTTAATAAAGAGAACTTTGGTTATGTAACAATATCTCAGAGGTTGATTTTGCTAACAACAGATAAAATAAATGCCATATAATATTTTGCTGTGTAACAATATCTCAGAGGTTGATTTTACTGGCAACGGATAAAATAAATACCATATAAAATTTGGTTGTGTAATAATATCTCGAAGGTTGATTTTTTGTAAAAAAAATTAAAAGAATAAAACAAGATATCAAACAAAATACCAACAAGAAATCAACAAGAAATCAAACAAGTTAATTTTAAAAATAGTAGCAAATTTAATCATCAATAATTGGTTTAAAAATCAGAGGTAAATTTTGATTGCTTTTTTATCAAAAATTATAAAATTATCTTGGACTTTGATTTTGCTGGTAACGAACCCATATCATTAAAAATCGATATGCTAATATGTCAAAGAACATATCGAATTACTTCTCCTAAACAAGATTTTATTAAAGAAGAAGTTGATAAAATGCTGAAAAACAAATTAATACAACCATCTGAAAGTCCTTAGACTTCTCCTGTAGTCCTAGTAAAGAAGAAAAATGGCAAACTAAGGTTCTGTGTTGACTATCGAAAACTTAATAGTGTGATCTAACAAGATTGTTATTCTCTTTTATATATTGATGAACTTTTGGATATGTTTGGTAAGGCTAAGTATTTCATAACGCTTGACTTAGCTTGTGAATACTGGCAAGTTATCATGACACTTGAGGATCAATAAAAGACTGCATTCATTACTAGTCACAGGCTTTACAAATTCACTGTTATGCCTTTTAGTTTAACTAATGCACTAGTAACATTCTAAAGACTTATGAATAAAGTTTTTAGAGAAGAAATTTGAAAATATGTAGCTGTCTATTTAGATGATATAATTATCTTTTTAACCACATTTGAAGAACATCTTGCCCATTTGAAAAATATATTTCAACGACTAAGAAGGGTTAGTTTGAAATTAAGACAAAATAAATGTGAATTTAAAAGACTCGAACTTGCTTTTTAGGACACATCGTAAATAGTCAAAGAATCATTCCAGACTCTTTAAAATTTGAAAAGATTAGAAACTTTCCAATACTCTCTAACATTACTAAACTTCGTGGATTTTTAGGACTCACTTCATATTATCGTCGATTTATACAAAACTTCTCAACTATCGCTGCATCTTTACATCTTTTACTTAAAAAAGAAATATTTTATAAATAAACGGAAACTCAATAGCAGGTATTTGAATACTTGAAGAAGTGTTTGGTTATAGCCCCTATTCTTATTTATCCTGATTTTTCTAAGAAATTTCTATTGTTTACCGATGGATCATATATGGGACTAGGTGCTGTTTTAGCTTAATTAGATGATCAATAAAAAGAATATATAGTCGCATATGCTAGTCAAACTTTTAACAATGCTAAAAGGAACTATGCGTCTACTGAACTTGAATGTCTCGCTGCCATTTGGGTAATGGAACATTTCAGGACATATCTCCTTCATTAACCTTTTGACTTAATCACTGACCATACTGCGCTGCAATGGTTATTCAACAAATTGACCCACCTCGTAAATTTATAAGATGGATTGTACGAATCATGAAATTTCTTTATAATATTCGCTATCATAAAGGCAAAATACACTAAAACGCTAATACCTTTTCTAAATTACCTTCCTATTAATTTAAACATCAAACTAAATTATTTAGAGTGAAAGTGAAAGCATTAGCAGTGTGACTAATAGCTCTATTATTCAACATGAACATAAACTTATATCAAAATCTTTACCAATATTTAACCCAATCAAAATACCCAGAATTATCTACATATACACAACAACTTTCTATACAAAAATAAGCGAAATATTATATTATTTATAATCACCTCCTTTACCGATAAAATTCTCAAACCCTTTAAATTCTCTTCTTATTATAAGATCAATTGAAGTTGAATCTCTTTTACATAACATTCACAACAAACCTCTAAGATGACATTTATAACATAACATAACCTTTAATAAACTAGTACACAAATATTATTGGCCAAAGATGTATAACATAGTAAAGGAATGGGTGAAAACATGTGATATATGCCAACAACAAGGAATGCCTTGACGACAAGAGCCTTTACATCCAATTTCAGTTGGACAACCTTTTGACCAAATTGGAATTGATTATGTAGGACCACTATCACGAACTAAGCAAGGTAACAGACACATCATTGTTGCCATAGAGTATCTCACTAAATAAGCTGAAGCTGCTGCTGTATCTGATTGTACTGCATAAATAATGGCACAGTTTATTTTCAAGAAATCGTGTGTAAACGTAGAACTCTAAAGGAAGTATTAACTGATAGAGCTATGTTATTTCAAAATGAGCTAATAGCTGCATTGCTACATATTATTGGAATGAAGTACTGACTCTCTTCACCATATCACTCAGATAAATGGGTTGACTGAACGTTTTAATCAGACTTTATATACTATTTTAGCCAAATATGCTGAACAACATCAAGGAGAATGGGACGCTTATCTCTCATCAGCCTTATTCACATATCGCACAGCACAATAAGAGATAACCAAGCATGAATCTTTTGAGTTACTATATGGACGACATGCTATACTACCTATAGATCTTTGAGTATTACGACCCACTATAACACAAAAGCTGCCACAAACAATAGAATAAGATCATCGCCTTTTAATAATACAATTACAACAACGTTGACACAATGCATAACAGAATATTTTACAACAACAGCAAAAGCAAAAGGAACGTTACAACCAAACACATAAGGGCATAGATTATCAAATCAGAGACAAAATACTTTTATTTAATGTTTTACGATTACACATACATGGAGACAAATTCAAGAATAAGTTTGATAAATCATTTTATATTCATAATAGTGTTGGGAAATTAGACAATTTTAGACAATTTTAGACAGATTATAGGCACATTTTTCTATGTTCAAAACCTTGTATAAAATATTTAAAATTAAAAAAATGTATCTAAAACCCAACACTGATTCATAATATTGTACAACCTAATACATATAAATTGCAAATATTAGACAGATGAATTAGAAAAAATCTAACGTATGTTGATCAACTTAAACCTTATCTTGAAAGAACCAAATGAAAGTCTCAGATTATCATTACGGATCAGTGAAATTAATATTATAAATACAGCACTTATCCAAACTTAGTCTGTAGGAAAAATGACAAATACCGCTATTAATGATCTTATTCTATAAGAATTGCAAAGAGCTCCAATTCAAGACTTACCTCTCGAACTACCAAAATCCTATACCGAGGATATACTTTATACTGAGAAAATTAAACACACTTATCAAGCTCTTTTACGAGCACAATATATGAAAAATTATGTCTGAATTTTAATAAATACTTTCTTTTTAGGTGAACTACTAAATGATATAATAC